CTGAAGGTGAGCAGCAGCCTTAACAGGATGCTAATATTACCACTTCGTACATCGTACTGTACACTTCTGTACTTGAGAGCTTGGATCAGAATGTTTTTTTGAAGAAGGAATTCTCCCAGGACTCGAGAGAGGTTCCTGTAGCAAGAATCGCCGAAACTTCACAAAATCAGTTTATGTTGTGAAGCAGTTTCCCACCTAACATGAGAATTGTGGTAGTTTCTGAATATAGAAACGATATCAGATAGTTGTGCATAGTCTGGTGCAAGCACGCTGGCCACTCAGACCTCAAGATACGTGTATGGCGCATTTCCGTCATCACTACACTGAAAAGGTAAAACGGGAAACTATAATTAATGAAACGTGTTATGAATACGCTGCATACATCGCTTCATTGTTCATATGACAGTTCGCTAGATATGTGTGTAATTTAAGCAGTGACGTCCTACTTACGAAATTAAGCAGTCTTTTAATAAGGGTTAAGGGACTCGTGAATCACAGCTCTGCTGTTCCCACATGTCTGGAGCATTATATCTTTTTGCTACGAGACTTTATATCTGACTTGCCAGAGGGCTGCAGTAAGGAACATTGACTCATACGTGTAATCTCCCAATATGTGTACACGCCGCTGTGAGAGGGAGGGGCGCCACCCACACCCTGTCTCATCCCTCAAGTGCAGTAAGGGGGACCTTGCTTGCCGCTGTGCCAATGAATTGCGTCGCATCCTGTCTGCTGTCCTCAGCATTACACAAGCAGTCTGTATCCTTCATTCAGTGCGGATATTGACTTTCCAAACATCCTCACGTTATGCGTGTCAGTGTCTCCTTAAATGGATCCGTATGTTACAACGATGGTCGCTATTTCAGTTAATCTGTAATTAATGCCGGAATTCTGTTACAGCCTATAGCAAATTGACATGGCAACATGGGACCAATTTCTCTTATGGCCGGTTGGTATGTTTAAATATAAACTCCGAGAACGTTCACGCCTCGTCACCAGAACGTACGACAGAGATGTAAAGATAGCCAGTACATCTATCGAATATGCGGCAGCGTTCAAATGCTGTGAACATCGGTACAGAATTTACAGTCAGGAAGAAATTAAATGAAGATTAATTTTGGAGAATGCTTGCTACCAAGGAAGAGAAAAGTTTATGGCTGTTCTGCACCCATCTGTATAACGTTCTCGGTGGATAAACAGTGAAAGACACAAGTTGCCTTAACAACTTAGAATAACTAGATCTATAATAAACAGTGCCGTGAAATACATTCTTAACTTAGAGACTCCCGATCACATAAAAACGTGAAGATTAAAATAAAATAGTACGGGTTTGAGACGGTCTCTTACCCGGAAGGAAGAACGAAGATTGTGGGGGTTTAAGAACATTACTCTGAGATTTGTGCCTAAAACAGAAAGGAAAGAGGACGGAATATAATGAAGGGCTTCATTTTTTGTACTCTTCACGAAATTCTGTTGGGTTGATCAAATCAAGCAGGTTGATTCTGTCATGAAACAGAAAAGCAAAATGTATAGGGAGGACTAAATTGCCATTATGAAATTTCATAATTATTTTCTGCTGCTGTGAACGCTTCAAGATGTTGGCTTGTTTATAGCGCAGCACTGGCAGTGTGCACAAAATTACAGTTAACCGGTTACTGCAGTGAATAGCTGCGTAAATCATTCCAAATCTGTGACCCATTAATACTCACAGTGTATACCCAAGTGGGACTCGCCAGGCTGAAAGATTTTCTTCCTCAGAGGTCTCTTCAAGGCTAACAAGAAGAGGATTCACGGTTTCCCTATTTTCTGTAGAGGTCTCTGCTTCCCAGCTTTCCTTCATCAGCTCTCTGCGTGCCACGCATAATTTTCCCGCATTGTTGGAGTGACCTGGAAATTTATTGGTTACTTTCTTTCAAATTGTTTTTGCCATCAACAATAGCAACATTGGAAGCCTGGGAACCATCAAGATGAAATGAAGATCATCTCCACACTACACAGTGCCCATTTACTTTGTGCTGTGAAAATTATGCAAGGCTCTTAATCAGAAATAGTACTGGTCTGTGTGATAAAGCAAAGTTTTGTATGCTTAAAGTTGCTGTGAATGCACGATAAGGGGCATGGAGGTAGAGTCCGTGCGCTCAGACCTCGGCTTATGGTGAGTGAACAGCCCCAGCGCTCCGGGTAGCCATTTAGCTCCCACTGAAAGAACCTCGTGTGGGAGTCTGTGTGGCCCTGCCGGTAATCAACCCCCAAATCAAGTCACTTTGTGTTTCTGAAAGAAGACGAATCATTTACATATGAACGCATTTGAAGGAGGTCTGTACCGTATGTTTCGCCTTTACGAAAAAAAAAAAAACTGAATTTAGTCCGCAAGCGAACTATACCGACCGAGCGACCGCCGCTTGTCGGCGAACTTTAGTGCCAACTTAACGGATGGAGGGTGTCGCGTGGTCAGCGCAACGAATCCCCACGGCCGTTAATTTCGGTTTTTTAGGCCGGAGCCGCTATTTCCTTGAAATAACTCCTAAATTATCATCACGAGGCTGAGTGGACCCCATTCCAAACTCACTACTTCTCAGAAAAAAATCTGGTAGCGCCGGGAATCTAACCCGGACATCTGGATCTGTAGCCAGGAACGCTGACCACTAGACCACAGAGGCGGTCTGCCCTTGTAAAACATCGTGAAGGAATTGGTTGCAAATAGGAGAGGCTGGTTACCGAGTGGATTTCACTGTAGTCAGTATCGGTTCACCGGGATGCACGAGGGACGTGAGAAAAACATTCTTTTTTTTTAACGTGAAGTGACCAGACCACTTGGGAGACCTAAGCATGAATGGAGGGGTGGTACTCGGATCTTCAGGAAATGCGATATGTGTGGACTGGATTCTTTTGCCTGAGGATAGGGTCCAGAGGCGGTCTCATGTAAACATACGTGTACATACAACTCCCCTCATACATTATCATGATAATTGTGCTTATTCACAAGGTCCGATCTGTTCACTTGTGCTTCCCAGATATACAGTAGAGTAATCGCAGCACACCTGCAAGTTGAACGAACACAAATGGGAAATATGTTACGTCGTTTATTGACTTGGTGTTGGTATTTTCGCCGTTTGAAACTGAGCCAGGTGGTCCGTAAGATGTAACCGAATGAATGAGTTGTTGAAGCGGGGGCAGTTACTTCCGCGCGAGCATCTTGTATGTGTGTGAGTGAGAGAGAGTGAAGAAATAGTAAAAATATCTGTCACTTCGTCCTCGCGTGGGTTGGTTGGTTTCTCAATGGAGCCGCCAAGTTTGCGCATGCGCTACGTGACGTAGAAAGCACGAGAAGGAAGGGGGGCAGAGATCGATAGCGATCGCAGGACGTAACCGATAATACGTACTTCGCGTGGCCTTGCATGTTTCCCAGCCCCGCTGCCTTCTCATGTTTGGCGCCCGAAGTAAATAAATATCAGGACCTTGAAAAACTGCATGAAACTAAAATATTAATTTGCAATCTCACGCCATCGAAGAAATGCTATATTAATTCTTAATTCAGCGTTCATTCATTGCTGTTAATTCAGTATTCATTCGTTCTGCGTTACAATTGAGTTTATCTTGTGATAAGCTGGTCACACTAAGTGCTATAGGTAAATATGCAGTACTTATGTATGACATTTTTTCAATCTATATATTTAAAATGAGCAGCTTCGTTCTAACTGGTTCCTATCGTTTAAAAGTTTCTGAGCTTTGCAACTTTATCACTAGCAAAGCGTGGAAGTTTTTGACATTTAATGCTGTCATTTAAATACTTCGAGCTAAAATACTGGAGCTCTGTATACTTTATTCTGGTGCAACATTTCCGTAGTTCATCTGTTATGGGCATGTACATATTTTGTTACACCTCTTCTTGATATTTCTGTTATAGGTGGTTTTTATTGCTATATCAACCTTTTTCTTTTCACACTAACATGTTATTGTTATGTTTGATTTACCTTCATATCAGTCATCATTTCCCTGCTGCAGTTCTGGTTTCCAACACTGTTTATGGTAGATATTTATGATTTTGGATGTATCCTCTCAGGAGTTCGTATTTTAATGACTGCTGGTGGATCTCTGTGGTTACATCATCTTGTCATGTTCTTTGTTTTTGTTAGACCCTGTGCAATGTTATTTGGATATCTTTAAATTAGCTGTCCATGTAAGACCAGTGAGTAACAACCCATCAATCTGTCTGTGTATTCTTGTTGCTCATACTTGGGTCATAGGACATCTGTGAAACGTTTTTGTAAAAGCTGTAATCTGCTTGTCTCTACACATGGCTATAAACAATTTCTTACTATTCTTAATGTGGTCAGGTATGGTTAACACAAGAAAACAGTTGAAAAGATACTGACAACATAGGCACATACATGTTAATATGAATAATGACACTGAAGCGGGCTGTCAGAACTATTATGAAGATGTACTTGCCAGCTTATGAAAGTAACTTTCCCCAGGTAAACATATGACTGTATTTTTGAAGCCCTGGCCATATTAATGCTATCAGTAATTTAGAAACACGAGGTTAAAGAGTATGGTGACCTGAATTCAGTTTGAATGTTTACATTGAGTCTCATCTGCAATTCAGGTGTGAAACCATGTCTTCTTCTATAACCCTTTTCTCTGTTCAAATGGAAATTGGGATTGCTGAATGTAGAAGTGAATAACAGGAACCATGCTCCTATATTGCTATATATTCTAAATTATTAATTACTAATGCTGTGTGAAGTGTATGAAACGAGGTGTAGGGTTAATTTCAGGTGGTGAGGCAGAAGGGATTTGGAAAGAAGAGAGAGTATGTACAAAGGTGCTGTCCTGGTACTTGCATGGGTGAACTGAGTAAACCATAAAAGACATTAGGGTCGTTGGTTTCCCATCTGGGAACCAAACAGCAGTTTTGTGAAAACAGTGCTGTATAAATTAATGTTTTAATTTCGGTTATCTCCTGCATATATCACTAAAATAAAACTGTTTCACTTCAGTACTCTAGTGCCATGGAAGATCTTCAGGCAGGTATTGAATGAAGTTCATCCAATCAGCTCTGGGTTGGAGGCAATGGCCCTTAAATCCACCATTGACCTGACATGTAATGATTACATTTCCAACTTCGAGTTTGATGTTTTCACAAGGTAAGTTTTCATTTAGTTTGGATAAACCTGTAGTATCTTTGTGGCGTAGAAAATAAGTAAAATTTCGCTTAGTGGGGGGTGGAATCGAACTGGGTCCACTCGCCACGGCGGCCACTGATTGGCCTAGCCTGCCCCGAGTGAATATGATGGAGAATTTGGTGGAATGAAGATTGGCAGGGGAAACCGAAGTACTCGGAGAAAACCTGCTCCAGCTCCACTTTGTCCAAAACAAATCCCACTTCACCAGACCTGGGATCGAACCCGGGCCGCCACGGTGGGAAGCCAGCAAGTAACCACTTGAGCCATGGCGCGGCCCTAGAAAGTAAGTATGTTTGTGCACTTGTGTGCGTGCATGAACCTACTGCTTTCTGAGTAACATCTCAAACACTGCTGTACAGAAGTAAAATTTATGTGGGTTTATTTTCCAGCAAATGTTAATGTTCCTAAAACTTTATGAAAATAATGACACTAAGAAGGTACAGTAAGTCCTAATTTAACTTCTCAGTTAACATTGTGTTGCTGTTGCATTGATACTGTTTTCATACCAAGGTTCCAGATAACGTTGTGTTATCTTGTTAATACATCATCATTCATCCCAGAGATTAAGAAATTGGTAGAAGAGGCGTTTCACTCACACCAACAAGTGTTTAATGTTGATGAGACCAGGACATCATCCACTGCTCACACCCTTCACTTTTGGCCATTAATACAATATAGTATACCAAATGTTAAATGAACACTGTTATAGTTTATAATTGCATGTACGAGTATTTATAACCAGTAATATATAACTATGTGTGATAGCATTCATAATATTTGTACTGTGATCATGTTAAGGGGCTGAAGAAAGTCTGCTAATTTTGTATGGTAAAAATTGATTCGCATAATGTCGTTTCATATAAAGTCACAGTTTGCAAGACAGTATTCATAATGTAAGATTTGATGTAATGTTAAAAAAGTACTTACTGCATAATCTGTTTGAAATTCAGGCTGTACTTAAATTGTATTTAATATTTTTAGAGTATGGAAATATATATTTTGTTTTAATGAAAAATATGGTCTCCATCAGTTGAGTTTTGTCTTGCTAAAAAGAATTCAGTTGTTACATCATCTCTCTTATGAGGGGGGAGTTATCTACGTACATTATGTGTACTGCAAAAGTGTGCAGATTTATACCATATGGTATAATGAAATTATTGGATGGACCAGGAATTATAAACAATATAAGGTATTTGGATTGTGGTTTTCTGATGAAAAGACACCATGCCTCCTTAAATATGGATATCACATGGGAGGACTATGCTTTCTCCATCGTCAGGTTTGAAATGTGTAGAGGGAGGAATTAGGTTGGTTTTGTAGACTGGTTGCAGAAGTTGGGAAGGAAATGTAGAATGGTCTGGTCCAGTTGCAATGATAGGGCTATCTCTTCCGTCCAATGATGAAACACATGATATGCCCCTGAAAAGGAACTTTTTTCTGCCTGTTGCTCCCATTGGTACGGATTTGCGTTATTTCCTTACCCCCTCCCCATGGATCTGAGTGACCAAGTTCCTTGCAACCTGCCTGTACAGCAGGGTCACTTCCTCATCCTACAGACTTCAGTCCTGAAGATGGAGACAGCATGCTCCTTTGAACACTAGTGTCTGTTCACAAGACTTCATGGTATCACAGCTGAGAAGACCACAGTCTGAACAGTAATTGTCATGAAATCCTGAAAACAGAAGATATTGTAAAATCTGGTTTCTGTATGGTTTGTTGTGTCGGCATTCCACTTTCATCGAACCCAGTTCATTCATATGCAGAAAAAAAATCTGTATTGATTATTCTGTGTTATTCAGACTGTTCCAGCCATGGACAACTCTGTTAAGAAACTGGCAAATTCTGGCAGTAACACATCCGGGTTATGTGGCATTCCTCACCTATGATGAAGTGAAAGCACGTTTACAGAAATACATCACAAAACCTGGAAGGTAAGACTATTCGGTGACAACAATGAGTCAAACAGTTTTAAACTTTTAGTTACAAAACCTGAAGGGAAGATGTGATTTGGGAGATCAACACATAGACTGTAACATAATGTTGTGACATGATAACTGGGCAACAGATGGGTGAACATGGTTCCACAACCATGAATCAGCAAGCCACAATAAAGGAAATGATGGGCCATTATTGGGCAATGCAGCATTTTCTGTAAGGTCCAACCCGAAGCTGTATAACAAGAACCAGCAGGATAAGTCATCTGTAGTTTAGAGTCGACAATTGGGGCAATGAACTGTGAGTTGTGAGATGGTAGCCAGCTGGCAATGATGTAACCATGAGAGCAGAAGAATCACTTGTTGGTTTCTGTTACTGGGCAACAGCTGGTGAAGATGTATAAGACTTCACATGTGCTGTAGTGGGAAGTAGAGTGCATGAATTAGTGGAAGCATCGTAATTACTAGTAGTTACTATTTATAGAGGTCCCGTAAATCCAATTACTAATTCAAACCCCATGTTTAGTCACTGACATGTGGTAATATTAACAGTTCCATTCATAGTACCACTGTAGCTGACTTACCTCCCAGCCTTCCAGTTCTACCGGTGCACTAACAGTTGGCAGTATTTCACTGTAAAGAAATGAATGGCAAATAAATTACATATTATCTTGATTTAGCTCATGACCATGGTGTGTATTATCACGGTTACTTCTTGTAATTGACCATCTGCACTTATCACAATGAATTCTTTTAATCCATGATATGTATGCAGTGTCCGTCTTTTAGTGCACTCAATTTCACTTGTTATTTCACAACATGTTTCGGCACTATAGTGCCATCATCAGGTGCTCCATTTACGTTAATCTATTTCATTGCTTGCCATTATGTCATTGTAAAATTTAAAAAGTATTTAAAAATGTTCGTCAATTATAATAAATATTTATATACTAAAAACTTGTGAAGGTTATTTATCTCATCTGTCCCAATTCTAATATTTACAACACCCGCAACCAAACAGGGAACACACAACACGAGACACGATATACACCGAGAGTAAGAGGAACGACTCCCATAGTGGTGGAACTATGCGCGGTGTTAGAATTGGGACTGATAAGATAAATAATCTTAACAAGTTTTTAGTATATAAATATTTATTATAATTGACGAACATTTTTAAATACTTTTTCAATTTTACAATGACATAATGGCAATCAATGAAATAGATTAACGTAAATGGAGCACCTGATGATGGCACTATAGTGCCGAAACATGTTGTGAAATAACAAGTGAAATTGAGTGCACTAAAAGACGGACACTGCATACATATCATGGACGAAAATCAGTGCAACAGGACGCTAAAATACAACATTATGAATTCTTTTAACTTCACTTGCACCAAAATTTCTGATAAGTGGAAACTCATCAGCTTATGAAGTTTGAAGAATTTGTTGTGATAAGTGTAGATGTTCAGTTGCAAGAAATAACCTTGGTCTACATGTGCCAAGAAATTGTCAAAATATAGCAGTAATGACCATCTATTGGTAGAAGAAGAAACTAGTTGCTCAAAACACTTTCAGAAAAAAAAATTGTAGAACTTCTTGAAACACAGTCTTGAACAACCAAACTTCTGTGACAGTTTGCACATGGCACCTGTAAACAGCCAGACTCATTTATGGGTCTGAAGGTGTTAAAGTGAAGCTTGAAGGAACATGGTGTGAGGGTGTGTGCTGAATTCAGTTGATTGAGGTTAGGCAGGTTCTTGTGAATGTGGCAATGAACCTTCAGTTTCCATAAAAAGCTAGACATTTCATGACCCACTGAATGACCATCAGGTTCTCAAGAAGCGCCCGCTCCAATGAAGTCACTGTACTGAGGTTAAAGTAATCTGTAATCGTTAAGACTGTTATTTTCAAAAGTGATGTAACATTTTTCCATCTTCTCCTGTAACATGCCGGAGAAGGATATTGTTATAAAAGTTGTCTATGCATATGTACCGTGGCTTGGAAATGTATTAGGAAGTGGATGTTAAGCACCAAGCATTCTCAACCATGCCACTGGATGGAGGTGATGGTCAGCTTTACATTTCAGCTGTTTTATCCCTGCACATAAGGTCCACTGAAAAGGAGGTTGAGTAGATTCCATGCTGTACAAGTGGAATGGTGATCAAGAAAATATTGTGGCCTCTCTGGAAATGAACACTGTTGGACAGTAGAGACATTAACTAAATGTCATTCCTCGCTAACATGGGTCTTCAAGAGCCCTTGAAATTACATGTGATAATAAATCTTAAAAAGAGTATACAACTAGGGTAACTCACAGTGAAGGAGTAACATGGCAGCCATGGAGAAAGTTAGGTTTATGTTGACAGTGGTAACTAATGAACCTTTGGAGCTACAAATATGAAATCTTGTATGACAGTAGCTGGTATACATCCCTGTAAATTATTTATTAAAGTTTGTTTGTAAGCGAGCAGTTAGAGACAGTGTGGTGGTGCAAAACTTTGAAGTTATGTCTCACAGATGTAAAGTAGTCATAATCTGTACGTTAACTATAAATTATTTGCAAAAGTAAATGGTAATTATAACCAGAACAGTAACACTGACATGTGGGATTTAATGTTGTGACCATTCCTGCATGAGCGTAGCAGAAAATGTGTTTGTTGTGTTATGAATCTGTCTATTTATATAAAATTGAAATGTAACAGGGTGATGAAATATCTGAAATTATGAGTTTCAGGTTACCATAGTGAACTGTCAAGCATTAACACATTGTTTGAATGGAAATGTAGTAGATCAAGAACGAGCAGGCAGTCTTTTGTTTAATTATATCATGTCTGTCCTTTAGGAATCATAATATTTTGATTTGGATGTTTGAAGAGTAATTAGTATTTGTCATGGAATGTGACATAGTTTATTGAGATTTTGAGATTTCCTATTTGAAACGTGCATGTAGAAGATGGCCATTTTGACCAATTCAGTGAAATCGTGTTGAGAGCTCTGTTCTGGAGCCAGCAGGATAATCCAAACTGACACTTGGCAGGTTGTTGCAGGCCATATGCCTGTGCATCTGCTTGACTCCATATCTCAGTGAATACCATTAGGCATGTTTGAGTAAACTGTATCTATATGTTACTCTTGTTAATTTAAAGTATATTTAGCAACACAATAATATGTGCATGGTGTACTTGTATGCTTATGTCATTAGTCACTTCAGTAGTAGACTCTACTGGGAAATAAACAGGAATGTCATAGGTATGACTTGAAACTCCATTATGAAATGTCTGTTTGCAGAAGGCCTATACAGAATTTGCTCTATAATACGTTTATTTAATTCATCAAGACCCTTAAAAACTTAATTGATATGGTTGCCATCATTATTTCCCGAATGAGAAATTGCTTTGTTAATGCAGTTACAGATCTATGCTTTTCTGACATTTTCTTAATTAGTAATGTAATATCTGTAAGTTGTTACTCAATAGTAATGATTTTATAGTCTAAATAACCATAAATCACTTCACCCTTTATTATAAGAAACTTTAATGTTCCTTTTGAATAATTTGTTTCTAAGTTGTATTTGTATTTATTCTAATTATATTTTCTTAACTAAGATAGTTTATAACAAACAGGATTCTTATATAGACTTGAAAGGATTCTGATGATGGTGTATACTGTACTTCTTTTGGCTTGTTTTGGACTTCATCCATCGTCTGGTATGTAAAAGACAAAAGACCATGACGTTTCGGAGACTGGATCTGTCTCTGTCTTCAGGCGGGTGGGGAACGATAAACCTATTCAATTGAGCCTGTTAGAAAGAGCTAGTCTCAATCACTCAGTCACTCTAGTTTCCATCATTTAAGTGTGAATTAATTTTTTTTTAATTCGCTTAATGGGGGGGGTGGAGTCCAACTGGGTCCACACGGCACAGCAGCCACTGATTGGCCTATTGTAGCCTGCCCTGGGTGATTATGATGATGGAGAATTTGGTGGAATGAAGATTGTCAAAGGAAACTGAATTACTCTGAGAAAACCCACCCCAGCGCCACTTTGTCCACCATGAATCCCACTTGACCATGCCCGGAATTGAACCTTGGCCACCGTGGTGGGAAGCCAGTGACTAACTGCTTGAGCTATGGTATGGCCCATTTAAGTGTGAAAGTAACAATGCAAGATTTGTATAACTGAAAGTCTTTGCGGATGGAATATGGAAAGTGTATTGTGAATTCTGCCTCGAATTCTTTGTTTGCTGACCAGTTATTTTATTATATTTTATTGATTTATATATTTTACCATCTTAAATAATAAGTAAAATTCATAAAGCATCTGGGTGTGTGCGTGCGTCTAAGAGAGAGAGAGAGAGAGAGATGTCAAGTATATATTTACATCTGTTCCAGCTATGTCTTCCGACTTAGTTGTACGAGGCTTGGCCAGTGGGCTATTGGCTATGTGACTGCAGATGGGGAAATTTTACAGACAATTCCACAGAATAAATCCTTATGCCAGGCTTTACTCGATGGATACAGAGAAGGGTTGTAAGTACAACTTATTCATAGGTAGTAGTATAGCTAAGCATGCTTCGAGGCTCGTCCACAAAGTAAGTTTCCCTGGGGCCATTTACAGAAACAAAACACAATTTCATGGAAATATTTATTGCAACAGATACAGCAAGTGTTTAGCTATTTTTCAACATTGAGACATTTGTCGTAACGTGGGACCAACTTTCGAACACCTGTGTCGTAGAAGTCTGCCACCTGGGATTGGAACCACTGTGTGACAACCATCTCTGCCTCTCCGTCATTCTCAGAAAGCTGACGCTCACTGGATAGGAATTTCTTGAGGTGTAGGAAAAGATGGAAATCACTGGGAGTGAGGTCCGGGCTGTAGGGTTGATGATTAAACACCTCCCAGCTGAACTCCTGCAGGAGACTTGCTGTCCGTCGAGCCGTGTGCAGCCTAGTGTTATCGTGCAGGAAGACAATACCAGCACTAAGCATCCCGCGCCGCTTGTTTCCGAACGGCCTGTCACAATTTCTGCAGTGTTTCACAGTAACGCTCAGCATTCACCGTCTCACCTCTGGTCAGGAAGTCGACGTGTCTGTCTCAGAATACCCTGCGCATCACTTTCCGCACTGACGTCTGCTTGAATTTCGTCTTGCAGGGAGATCCACTGTGACGCCAGTACATTGACTGCTGCTTGGTTTCTGGGGTAATGTGTGCAATCCACGTTTCATCACCTGTGATGATCCAGTCCAGAAACTTGTCGCCGTCATCATGGTACCACTGCAGAAATGTCAGTGCTGACTCCATGCGCTTTGTTTTGTGTTCTGGTGTCAGTTGCTTCAGCACCCACCTGGCGCACAGTTTCCTGAAGAACAGGTGCTCTGTGACAATTTCATGCAACAAGGAGCGGGAAATCTGCGGGACATGACAGCTGAGTTCCGTAATTGTGACGCGACGATTCTCCACAATGCGTTCCCGCACAAGCTCCACCAGGTTGTCTGTAATGATGGATGGCTGCCCACTGCGCTTTTCATCATGCACACTTTGTCGACCTGCTGAAAAGTTTCTGCACCAGCGACGCACCATCTGCTTGCTCATGACATTAGGCCCATGGACCTGGCACAGCTGACGATGAATTTCGATCGGCACTATGCTCTGTGCATTCAAAAACTTTATCACTGACCGCACTTCACAGTCGGCGGGAGCTGGAATAAGAGCCTCCATCTTCAACAGCTGCAACGATGCTACTGTGGGAATGTGGGAAATTCCGTTAGTGCATGCGGCATCCTGTGTCATTGCTCTTACACATACGCGCAGTCACTTCGTGCAATATAAGGTTTGCTAGCTGTGGGACGAGTGAGAAACTTACTTTGTGGACGTGCTACGTACCTTCCCAAGCATTTGGGTAGAATTTTGTTTTTGCAGAATCTGCTTACGAAAGAAGCTTCATCTCTGTTGACCTCAGCCTTTCAGTGTCATTAAGAGTAATGTTTTAGAATTAAACATATACTACTACATTCTTTCTTTTCTCCTTCTTTCTTTCTGGAGCTATTATCAGTTTGAGCCTTGCATCCTGAATCACCGCAGGACATATGTTGCTGTTTTGAGACCTTACTGTCAGCAACTCCATATTTTCCCAGATCATTTGCATCATTCAGCCAACTTGGAGTCAGTCACGAACACCTCTTCACTCTTCTGGCATATTAAAAGACAAGTGCCTCCAGCTTCCATTTTATACACACATACACACACATACATATTGTCATGTGTTGCCTATGTAATGTGACAAATTCACGCAGGTCTCGGATTTGAGCGAATATTTATTGGAAATACTCTTTTACACTTTCAAGTACCATTATTCACAATCACAGTTACTGCTTTGAAGCCAACTGAAGACTGACTACTCTTCTAAGGTCAACTACAAACTGAACTCGTCCCTTGTTGAAGCTGGAGTTTTATAACCTGGTCTTGGATGGAATATAGTGCACCATGTAGGAGCCTTTGTTTCCATGGAAATATACATTCCAGATACCTGGCAGCATGCAGCATTATAATATAACATTGCTTCATATCAATTTTAATAAGCTCTGTTTGGATAATTTTGTTACTAAAACTACCAGATGATGCTAGTATTACATGTGGGTGGAAAGAGAAATGCATACACAGTTTTAGGCAGTGAAACATGAAGAGAAGGAAGATGCAGGCATAAGTGGGAGGATAATATTTCAATTATTTCTTAGTGACATGGGATGTGAAGATGTGGACTGACAGACTCTTAGTGAAGACAGCAATGCACTTTGGGTCCATAAAAGGTGGGCTGAGTAACTATCTCCTCAAGAGAAAACTCTTTTTTGGAGTCAGTTACATGGTCAGCTAATTTACTTTCTCTACTAACCACAGTGGGGCAGTGTTTGCTGATGATTGAAGTTCTACCAGGGCTTGGTGGCTTGTATATATCTTTGCTGCCATTAGTAACAAAATACTGCAATTTGTAGGGGCATAGAAGTTTTAAAAAATATGACAGTATAAAAAAATGAAGGGACTTCAACGTAATAAGTCAGCAGTAACCAGGTCACCAGTCCACCTGCTTTTGTTTTTAAAAAATAAGTACGATTCCATTCAGATAGATGGTATAGTTCACTTGCGGACTACAGGCCACAGATTTTTCAGTTTATTTCAGATGGTCAAGATTGTTATTAATATTCTTGATTTTCCCAGTTATCTGTTCCCTGATGGGCGCAATGTGAATCCTGATCTCTCGTGGGCTGTGCAGCCAACTCCAGAAGACCATATCAAGGTGACACAGGAACAATACGAATTGTACTGTGAAATGGGTTCCACATTCCAGCTATGCAAAATATGTGCAGAGAACGACAAGGACATTCGTATCGAACCCTGTGGTCATCTGCTATGTACACCGTGCCTCACATCATGGCAGGTAGGAGTGCCGTTGTATTTTTGACAGACCTTCAAGCGGTAGTTTGATTTTCCATTACACTGGCACACTTAGAATGAAATGATGCTTGGGCTAAATAGAACAAGGTGTTTACTTTCTTGTTGCTAGACTCACTCCTATGACTTGTTTTATTAATAAGTAGACTTTAAATTAATTGGAGGTGGATTATCTGAGAGCTTTGTTTAAAAAGTTAACTGGTATGTCCAGTGTCAAGTTAAACTTCATGCTTAGTTGATTTCTAAGAAGGAACAAGTACAAAGCAACGTAAGTTTTATTTCGCTTCTTAATATGTACTTAGAAATCTTACATGGAGAAGGCTTTGTTTTTAATTGTAGAAACAGCATGGGACCTTCTCAGAAAGAGCGCTCGTGTCTTTGCCAATAATATTTGAGTAAAATACACTCACAAATGCTTATCCATGCGTCATTTTCTTTTGTGCATTCACAACATTGCATAATGCTTAATCGGCATGCTCAATCTATCTCTTTGTCTGTAACCATGAAAAAGGTCAGTAATATTCCAGCGGGGAGGTATGCGGTAAGGTAATTACGTATGTCGAAAAAGTTAAGATAGGAGAATTGGAAGAAAGACCCCTAATGTGAGAACTGATAATTATGATACAGTAATTGCATTTTTGATTGACAAAGCACTCTGTGGCATCTCAGTTTGAGACATAATGCGAACACATTATAATTGAGTAATTCTAACTCAACAGGACTCTGAAGGACAGGGCTGTCCATTCTGCAGAGCTGAAATCAAAGGCACAGAGCAGATTGTGGTTGACCCTTTTGATCCAAAGAGACAGCACAAGGCGGGATCTACAGGAAACCTAGTGGACTTGGATGAAGATGAGGAGGTAGCTGATGCTTCTGAGTAACCACATTCTCTCACTTGCTTGTTTTATGTCTTGTTGAAGCTTGTGTTGGCCTGTTGCCCTCTTGCACTTCTTGTTACCTAGCCCATTGCCTATATGTCATGAGGAGTTGTTCAGAAAGGAATATTATGTAAAGAGAGAATGCCTTAGTAATGTTCAGTGATAGTACATATAAACACAGTGTGCCCACATGTGTGATGATCTGCTTGTAAAATCCTGTTACACAGTACTTCCTTTGGCTTATTTTCATCCATCATCTAGTATGTAAAAGACAAAAGACCATGACGTTTCGGAGACTGGATCTGTCTCCGTCTTCAGGTGGGTAGGGAAGGATAAAGCTACTCAGTTTGGCCCATTAGAAAGAGCTAGTCTCAATCACTGGACAAACCCCAGTCTGTAGAAAACAACCTATGAAATTTGTGCCAAGCCTGCACATGTCAACAATGTAAAAAACAGAAGTATAGATTAACTTCCAGGAGTTCAGTTAAAAACTTGGATAATGCATCTGTGTGAATAAAGAATTGTGCCACCAGAGGGACTTCCGGGAATCAGACTAATCCCTGGAGCAAAACTTTCTGAAGTAGTTGAAGCCACTAATATTCATAAAAACTTACATTTTTGATTTGTTAACCTCGTCATTGATGAGGGGAATCTATATGGGAGAAATATCCAAACTGGGTTGGCTGATTGGATTGGTTGAACATGCCATATGAGCTGATTCTTTGTACTTTCTGTATCTGCTGTCACTTTCAACCTCCAAGATCCTAGCTTCATCCCAGCTTACCCTATGACTTTCATATGCATGCTGAGCCAACCTGAATTTCTCTAGAAGACCCTGCTTGAGATTGTGCCTGTGTTCATGGATTGGCACAGCCAGCGGTCTGCCTGTTTCACCAATGTAGCTTCTGCCACATTCACAGGGAATGCTATAGACGCACTGTTGAGGATCCCTTTTTGGTCTCGTTCTCATGAGCGAAGACGGTCCTAATATTATACTGGTTCCCTATGCGCTTGAACTTCTCAGAGATGACCTTGACGTACGGGATATAAACTGTGCCAAGAGGCTTTTCCTCTTTTTTCTTTTGATGACTACTACCCTTGGACCTGATAACTGAGTCAGTAAAGCCTTGAGAATAACCACTCAGTTGAACGTCCACTGTCCAGTGATTGAGACTAGCTCTTTCTAATGGGCCCAACTGAGTAGGGTTTATCCTTCCCTACCCACNTGAGGATCCCTTTTTGGTCTCGTTCTCATGAGCGAAGACGGTCCTAATATTATACTGGTTCCCTATGCGCTTGAACTTCTCAGAGATGACCTTGACGTACGGGATATAAACTGTGCCAAGAGGCTTTTCCTCTTTTTTCTTTTGATGACTACTACCCTTGGACCTGATAACTGAGTCAGTAAAGCCTTGAGAATAACCACTCAGTTGAACGTCCACTGTCCAGTGATTGAGACTAGCTCTTTCTAATGGGCCCAACTGAGTAGGGTTTATCCTTCCCTACCCACCTGAAGACGGAGACAGATCCATTCTCCAAAACGTCATAGTCTTTTGTCTTTTACATACTAGACGATGGGTGAAGTCCAAAATAAGCCAAAAGAAGTACAGTATACACTATCGTCAGAATCCTTTCAAGTCTATCCTGTTTCACAGTTGCTTAATGTTATGGAGTCAACTGTGCTGTGTGAAACATGCTGTGTTCTGTCTGACCAAACTGAGACCAGACACAGAACTGCCTATGATAAAATTTAAATCGTAAGAAACATCTACACCTCTTATTCCCACACCTTCAGGGAAGCTATTGAAATAGTCCGACATGCAGATTAACTGTAACTGGAATAATGAGGGTTTGCTATATATATATATATATATATATAGTAACGTGTTTTGGAGTAAGTACTTCCATGGAAGCGCAATAATGGTGAGCCGTTGTGTAGAGAATGCCATGCTGTATCCCGAGCTGAGAGTATAGGTTGGCAGGGCAAGCAGTCCCTCAGGAGTCAAGTTGGGGTGTGTGTTAAGCTGCTGCTGTTGATCAGCTAGTACAGTAAAGTAAAAGTAAAGCTATCCCTTTACCAGGCCATGAAGGCTCATAGGGTTGTGAGACATTGAGGGTCCCACATTGTCTAGACAGTTGGCTCAAAGATGGCGGTAAGGTTGTCAGCCTTACGCGCCGGCCGCACTTTACTCCCCAGGAAAATTATTTATGTAATTCCTAGTACTCATTGCTGTTAGAGGCTGAGTGAACCCCAGGGACATAGTGCGGCCAGAAGGATTAGGTCAATTGAAGAAAATTCTACAGTTCTACAATTCTGGTTCAGTGTGTTCATTATTGTTATTCTTCAAACGCAAGTTCATCTGTGTATACGGTGCAACTGTAATAAATACTATAGGACAGTTCAACTAGTGGTTGTCTCTTCATATGACATCCCACAACCTCATCAGTATTTGAACCTGCGACCTTCTGACTTATAGCATGGTGCCTTAACCACTACGCTACCGCATGCCCCACTAGTACAGTTAATGTACAAAGTAACACAATTTATTACCAGGTTAATACAGAGAGTACAACTGTCTTAGCAAGGGCAGTGGTCGACTTTCTAAAATGAGAGACACACACTGTCCCACACCTGGGTACAGGTTGTCTGAATCAGAGAAGGGAAGAAGGGTGGCAGTTACTGAGTATTTATACAGATTTAAAAGTCGCCGTAAGGGCGCTTTCCCTTTCCAGTACTCTTCCGATGTATTTATGAACTTTGGTTGGTGACTATGGATTTCACCAAAAGATTTGTAATATTCTATAACATCTGTATTCACTTTCTCCACTCTGCCTGTGACCAAGTCTCAGAATAACGAGAGAGTATTGTTCACAAACAATTTACACAAGATTTCATTTCTACATTGGGAATAACACGTGTATGCTATTGCCTTCTCAATACACATTGATCTGTAATGAATAAAATATGAACTTGCAATAATCATTTATTGCGTCTATAACAGTATATGACATGAACATTAATATGTGGCTATGCCGTAGCTCAGGTGATTAGCCAGTGACTTCCCACCATAGTGGTCTGGCTTCAGTCCCAGGTGAAGTTGTGTAGGATTTGTGGTGAACAAAGTGACACTATTGAGGTTTTTTTCTGCTGGCACTTCTCATTCCACCAGCTGGTCCACAATCATTCGTCATCCTGTTGTCACATGTAAATCCATTGCTAGGGAACATGTTGAGAAACATATTTCCATGGAGGTGGATTCTTTAAGACCAACTTGGTATGAACACTTTTCCATGTAAATGAACAGATGAGAACCAAGTCAGTTGTAAAGAAACTCTAAACCAAATCAGTCATTCAAAGTGGAATACAGACTAGGAGAGAAAACAGTCATAGTCCAGTCAGAAGGGAGCAAGTCTTAGGTAGTCGGTTATTGTGAGTCGTTGTAAACTGATTGTGATTATGAAAGATTGAAAAGAAGTGTTAATAAATCCAGTCCGGACCCTGTTGTTGTTGTTGTTATTATTATTATTATTATTATTATTATTAAATGCTTCATAGTCTTGATAGTCACAGTGTCATAAATAACCAACTTAAAAAAGAACATGAGTGTGCTATTATTATGGGGTTATGCTATTAAATTTGCTCGAATTAGAGACACACACAGATGTAAGACGTTTATTTACGCATTAATATTTTTTTGTGTCTTCAAGTATGTATTTATATACAGTAAACCCTCGCTGATCCGGTTATAGTAAATCTGGATTGAAGTATGAAAAATGCTATTCAAAGTTCAGTGCGTACTTTAAAAGACACATGGCATTTAGGAAGGTAGATGAGTCACTGGGCTGTTCAGAGAAAACTTGACAGTTTCTTCAAACCTCTCTTATTACTTTCAGAAACAAATACAGCTTCTGAATCTTCTGTCAATGAATAAATGTATTGTCTTTTTAAAGTTTCTAAGTGAAGGCTTTACTGTGATTTTTTATTTATTTTGATCATCACTACTTATGGGAGCTGGGATAGTGTAGTCAGTATAATGACTGGCTACAGGGCTGGATGACCGAGGCATCAGAGTTCAAGTCCCAGTAGGGTCAAGAATTTCCTCTTCTCCACATCCAGACTGGCTCTGGGGTCCACCCAACCTCCTATCCAATGGGTATCGGGGGGCTCTTTCCCTGGGGCAGAGCTGCCGGGCCTTGAAGCTGACCGCTCACCTTCAGCTAGTATGAGGTCAAGAAAATGTTGATCTGTACATCCACTACCCCATACACCTTCATGGTGTATTGCTTACTTAGTTAGCAGAGAGGTAGCTGTATCTACCAACACTACTTTAAAAAAAGGTAAAGTTGTCCCTGTGCTCAATGAATGAAGAGGTATGTGGAGTGGATGTATGGGTCCACATTTCCTTGACCTCAGCACTACCTGGAGGTGAGTGGTCAGCTTCATGCCTCTGCCGTTTTACCTTTGGGGTATCCCCGGTACCCATTGGATAGGTGGTTGGGTGGACCCCAGAGCCAGTCTGGATGATTTGGAGAAGAGAAAAGTCTTGACTGTACCGGGACTTGAAAGTCCAACCCCTGCATCATCCAGCCTGTAGCCAGTCACTATACCGACTATGCTACCCTGGCTCCTACCAGACACTACTTATGTCATTAAATTTTTCATTTCTTTGTGTTCTAATGTTCTTTCTTTTTTTTTTCTTTTAGGGCTGCCTTTTGCTTCGCTTAATCTGAATGCCCCCCCCCCAAGTTACTTTCTATTAACAAGGGTTTACTGTGCTGATTTACACTCTATTTTCTTGTCTTTTTCTGCATTTAACTGACTCTTAGTAATCAATACAAGTAGGCACTCAAATTATATAGCATTTTTACTTTCATTATTAGTATTATGCAATTAAAAGTGGGGGACTTTCTGAACATCTGTCACATTGGGCATCACTGTGTGTTACTGTTGCTTGTTTGTATTGTTCCACAAACACAACCCC